CTTTTAAAATTATAGCTAGATCGACATTTAGGAGTTCAGCTTTCCTTTTTTTAAACCGGTAAATAAGAGCCTCTGAGTAGTTGGTTTCAGAGCGGCAGAGCAGCCAAAGGTTCTTTGATTGAATTACTCAGCCTCGGAACTTGTATTCAGACTTGACATGTGCAAGGTCAGCAGCAGAAAGAGAAAGCAACAACATTCAGTAAATTAAAAGCTTATTTACTTTTTTCTTGATATTATTTGTGATTTATTTCAGGCCAGACTTTTCTTTTTTTACTGCGGTTTCTTCTTTTTATGCTATTGAACTGTATATAAGAATGTATCTAGAGCAAATATTTAATGTCCATTCAAGGCTTTCTTAAGCCGCATGTTACATTTTCATAGGAATGAATGAGTCCTTTCCATCTGTACTTTATTTTAGTTTCTTAAATGGCTAATTTTACTTACAATATTGAACACACAATTTCACCAATTCTGATAACTAAATTTTTTGGTTGGAGGCAGCTGCGATTAGCTGAAAATATCATTTATTTTATTTATTTATTAATTTTTTTAGTAAAGGAGCCAAATTAATGTGATGACACTTGAAAAGCTCTTGCTATAAAAGTGATGTTTACCATAAAAAAAAGGGAAATAAAAATGGAATCAGCTTTTTGCATACATTTAGTCTGATTAGTGTGACTAGCAGTAAAATATCATACTCTATTTAGATACTGTAAAGTAGGGGGCAGAGGAGTTGGCTTTCACCTAAACATCATGCATGATATTTTTAATGTTTCTGTTAATTTCTAATATTTTGTATATCTATAAATGCAGGTGTAATAAAAAAAAAAAGGAAGAGTAACAGAATAAAATAAAATTTAATACTTAGCCCACTGTTGAGTTGTGCTGTTTTCAGAAGACATCCTGGGCATCCTGTGTGGTCCTTGAGTTCCCCTTTGAGCCTGCGGGCACTATGTTGGTAACCCCTGCTGGAGAGAATATTGATCAAACATTTACTATGAGATTTATAAAAAATGTAAGTTAATTCCATGACAGGCTACAGTTAAAAGCTAAAAAACAAAACAAAACATAATTCCTAATGAGCAACATTTTATGTTACAACGTCCCTTTGTTGGTCAGTTCCACTCGAACCGGGCCCCATTAGGATGAATATGTATCCAACAGGCTGTACAACAAACTTTTTAGTTGGGTAACTGATCCCAACAGAAAAAAAATTAAACCTGCCCCCAGGCTTTTAGCTAGGACTATTTTATAGGGTGTAACCCTTGGTGCATCACATCTTTAGGCTTAGCGCGGCATAGCCACATGCACGTAGCCTATTAAACTAGCCCCACCCACTAGCGGCCAAAATCATTTTTGCCTGCGAGTGGTCTAGCCTCAATCAATGCCCCAGGCCCTAGAACTGGTTGGCCATTTTTTTGAATTTTTGGTGAACAGGAAGAGGCTCTACGCTCATTAATTTCTCAGAAGGATGTATTCGTCGTTTTACCGACAGTCTGTTTCTTTACACTCCCCCACCAGCTTTCTGTCACGCTTACTATGTCACAATCAGTTGCCAGACTAAATTACACATTTAATCTCACACTTAGTCTGGTTTATCAGGCTAACAGGCGCAAGCATTGTCATGAGGGTCTACTGGTATCTTACCCTGGAAAATTTTGAAATTTAGATTCTCTGAAACGCTATTCCTTTATTATGAGGTGGAATGCAGCTAAATGTTTGTCTTTATGTCCTACGGTTTTATTCCTGATTATGGAAGGTATGCGTGCTTGATTAGAGGTAGAAATTTTATATGAAAGACATTAGACGAGTTTAAGGCACAATATTATGTTTCATAGGTAAATTCAAATGATCAGAAAGTGTTACTTAAACTTACTCCTAAAGGTGAAACTTGTTACATATACAACAAGTTAAAAAATGACAAACTAAAAACAGTCTACAAATACTCCAACACAATCTGCAAACCAACAGAGGAAAGTTCCAGGTCTGCTTTTATTTCTTTGTATCTACTCTGTTAAGAATACAGCTGGCACTCAAACTAATTGTGAAACTTGATTGTCACATTTTTATCTATCTTAGTACATTTTGTAAGTCTAAGCTGATGTGTTACACAAGCAAGTGCGTTGCGCCGAAGGGAAGTTAAACTAGTTGTAAATGTCCAAACGGCAAAATAAACCCACTTTTGGAAATAAGGATTCCAATTTCTTGAAGAACCATGAAATAATTGCGGTATCTGTTTATTTGCTATGGATTCAGTACCGATCGCTCCCCCTCCGCAGTTGTCATTTATATTAGGTGTTGTTTTTTCCCCCCGTTCCACAGACCGTATTGTCCCGATGAGCTAAAGGAAAAAAAAAACCCTCCAAGATACCAAATACTCATCAAAGACATTTGATGAGTTTTTTTAAACTTTTCAAAGTTTCAAACTTACCTGCTTGCAAACTGCACAGCTTGCTTGTCCCCACAAATAAAGTTGGGAGGTTAGATATTCCACCATATTCTGAGGAAACATTGAGGCGTACCAAAGCGGTACATCCTTAAAGTTGTAGGGAAGTCATATTTGAATGTCAAATTATTCTGGCTTAAACATTTATATCTCTTTATCAGACTATATTGTCCCAAAATTTAGAAAATATCTATATTAAAAAAAAATTCTGTCTTAAAATCTGTGTTTTTTGTTGGTTTTTTTGTTGTTGTTATTTTATGCAGGCCAGTTAGTTATATGTCAGTTTGTACACCTAAATTCGGCCAACCATATATCAACGATCATCTGACAACCACATTTTTTCGGTCATAGCATCTTGATTCATATATCGCAGCTAATATACGCAATGGTTGAAATAACAAATAAGAATCATTTACTTTACAATTGAGTTACGTGACAATGTTCACAGAGATGGATGTCTGTGTCTTCGGCAGGCGTAGAGCTAACAGAAACCCGCAGCGTTGCGAAGCAAGGGCTCAAACATTTAGAGCTGTAAGCTTTCTACACCTAACGAAGCTTCTGCCGCCCTCTGCGACCTCTTCCACAACAACTTCGTCCCCGCTTTCCTCCTGTAAATAAAAAATGTATGACGGAGAAGACTCATCTATGACCTCCGACCCAAAACTCTCCTCCTCTTGCATGTTTCCGCTGTCCATAGCGTTCCTTGACAGTGTCGTTTCGAAGTGCTACTTGGTCCCAATGGACTTTCCCATTGGGAACCTACTACCACTAAGTTGCTAACTGGTTAGCAAGATGCTTCCAAGATACCGGCCCCAACCAAACTTGTTTGCGAATCTTCCGTCAAAACAATCCCCCCCCTTGATAAACGACCAATCACATTCAATTTGTTCACGTGTAAAGTCGTGCACCACTCAGGAGAATTCAGAAATGCAACGGTTGAATCAGCCGCTTCCCTAAGACTTTAAAACAGGGCGCATAACTTCTAATAGTTTTAGTTAAGGGCACACAAAGTATATTCCCTTTATGCATTGCTAGCTAAAAGCCTGCCTTGCCCCCAGACTGGATGAGTTTGTTTGTTTGGTTCTGTTGCCCTGAAGACATCAGAAACACGCTTATGTGTGGAAAGGTGGTGAAATATAACAAAGTAAATTTACTTGATTACTGTTCTTAAGTTCTTTTTTAGAGTATATTTACTTAACCTGGTTATTTTTTGGGCAGTATTTCACCTTCATGGGAGGTGGAAGATCATAAAATATTCTATGAATCATTTGTGCATTTTAGACCCAACTCTAAGTTCTGACAACCACGTTATGAGTTCTCTAGTAAGGAAGGGAATCAGTAGCTTCTATTATTTTTTTTCCTTCCACGCACACACTTGCTTTTAAACACAGGACTAAGAAATATGGACTCTGCAAGAACCGCTTATCTCCATGGTGACTGAAAAGATGTGTTCTAGCATTATGGACTAACCAGTTGGAAAGCGAACAGTCTGGCACCCTGAAGTTGCAGCCCAGCTGCATGTCTGCAGGAGGAAAAAACATGTCATATTGTTTTGACTGGCTTAATGAGCTGCACACCTTTTTACCTTGTTGACCATCAACATACTCTTTATTTGATTCTCCTGATTTCTAACATTCATTAACCCCTTGAACCCTACGGACCCACCGGCGGGTCCAGCTGCTACATGACCTCGTAATTTTACCAAACCCCCAGTATTAATGTAAAAAACATATTTGGCACAGTTTGGTGACATTTATGGATAAATGTGCCAAAATGGCCTCTCCGCCTAAGAAATTTCTCACTAATACCATTCTAAAATAAATATGATTCATCTGATTGAGTCCAAATTTGGTATATTTTTACACAACATTTAGATTTGAAAGTCTGTACTACTTTTTTGTGCTATAAATAATATTTTGGTAGTGTTTTGCAATGTTTATTTCAAAGAAAATTTTGGCGAGGTTCAAAAAATGCAAAATATTTTGTATTTTGTCCCTAATATTTCAGGCAGGGTCAAAGCTACAATGGTGCTGACACCAGAAAACCATTCTATGACATCTTACCTTTACAGAGGCACCAAAAGTTTCTTCTTAAATCTAATAGCTTTGAGGCTATAAGTTATTTACTTTTGTGTGTTTTTTTCAGGCAGAAATTTATTTATACCCCCTTAGGGTGTAAGAGGTTAATGAGGACATTCTATTTGTTTTATGTTTCGTGTGTATCATGGAGATTAGAAAAGATGGTGCTACTAACCTGATGCTTGCATAGTTAAAAGTCTTGTTCTCACAGTGATGCACATCACAATTTGGTTAAATGAAAAAAGAATCAATGCATCTGCTTAAGGAATTACTAGATCCGGAAAAAATCAAAACAAAAAAAAGCTATCTAATAAAACCTGAATTTGCCACTTTTCAGCAGGTTAATATAAAAAGCATTTTACAATGAAATATTTTGTTTTCTTGTTGTAATCTGATTTGATATTCCTGTATGAAATAGTTGTATTACCTTGAGTTTGACTGTTTTTTTGTTTGTTTTTTTTTTCTTTTTCCTATAGGCTGTCTGTCCCACTGTTCTCAGTCGCTGGGTTCCAGTTTTACAGTCAATGCAAGCTGACTTCTCATCTCACATGAACAGAGTGCAGATGGCTTTTTAAAGACTACAGACATAAAAGTGTCAACTCATTACATTTATTTATCCCTGTGGTTTTGATAAGGTACAAAATCCTAATCTTAAAAGAAATGTTTTTTATAATAAAATGTTGCCTTTTGAAATTGGTGTTACACGATCAGGCTTTTTTTTTGTCTATAGTTGGAAATTGTTGAACAGCTCATAGTGAGACCTTCTGCAATATTTTTTATGTTCAAATATTTTTTTTTATTCTTCTGCTTTATTGTTTTTTTAATGAAAAATGATCAATTTTGAAGTCTCCTGCGTCCCCATTAATTGGCTTTTTCCTTCTTTTGACTGTTTTTCTCTTTCTTCAGAACCAGATGTGAATCTTCCTCTGCTCTTTACTCAGTGGGCGTCATGTTGACCCAAATCTAACCCCATTCGCATCCTACCTTTACCTTTCCCTCCCATCTCCCCTCCCCACACCCTTCCCCATTCTTCGTCATGACTAGTCTGAAGCGCTCTCAGACAGAGCGCTCAGTTGGGGGATCGGTGCCGGCTACTGATGAGTTCTATACTCGCCGCCTCAGACTACCCAATGGAGGGGCACCGCCACCTCGAAGCGAAAGTGCCCACATCTCCTCTGCTTCATCAGCTGGCACCAACCCTGGTGTCCCCAAGATGGGGGTTAGAGCTCGTGTGGCTGACTGGCCCCCAAGAAAAGATGGAGGAGGGGGAGGTGTTTGGCACATCACGGTGGAGACGGACTCGCCTAGTTCTACAAACACCACTAGCTCTTCGGGTTCAGGAAGTGGAGACAGAGAAAGGATCCTTGGAGGAGGAGGAGGGGGAGGAGGTGGAAGTGGTGGATCAGGTGGTGGAGAAAGGGGAGGAGGAGGAAATGTGTCAGCTGTCGCAGCCCACAGCAATCTCTCTGCTAAGTTAGGACACCTGATAAGCCCACAAGACTCATCAATGCTACGCAACATCCAGAATACACTCAAGAACAAGATGCACAGCAAAGGAAAGGACAATCGCTTCCTGTCACCTGATGGTTATCTGGGGTCCCCTCGTAAAGGGATGAGACGCATTCGCCAGCGTAGTAACAGTGATATAACAATCAGTGAGCTGGACGGAGAGGGAAATGAGGGCTGGTCTTTCTCTGGATGGACACCCATGCACCGTGAATATGGCAGCACCTCTTCAATAGACAAGCACGGTGTCTCAGGAGAGAGTTTCTTCGACATGCTGAAGGGATACCAGTCCACTGAGGCCCCCGATCAGAGAAGCCCAGCTCCAGAAAGACTGTCAGAACTCCTAACTGTGGCCCCCATTAAACAGGCTGCCCTGGACCTGCCTGATGGTCCAGCACGAGGCAGTCCTGCCAGTCGACTGAAGGAGCGGGAGAAGCATTTAAAGAGAAGGTCAAAGTCAGAAACAGGTGGAGAGTCTATATTCCGCAAGCTGCGCAGTGTAAAGGTGGATGGTGACACATCGAGGGCCGGTTCAGATGCTGAAGACGGGGGGAAAGGTGATGAAAGTGGTCCACCTCCTAAACCATGGGTGTGCCAAAAAGGCTTTGCCCATTTTGACGTCCAGTCTCTACTTTTCGACCTCAATGAGGCAATCCAAAACCGTCAGTGTGGCTCTAAACGCAAGAACACCACTACTGGTGCCTCGGCCGCCGCCGCTGCTTCAGCCACATCCTCTCTTTCCTCCAACCAGAGCGGAAACTTCGGCTCCCCTTGTGGCTCACAGGAAGAGCTGAGCAAGGAGGGTACTGGAGGGCATGGTACCAACCCTGCAATGGACCCTGGAGATGATAAGAGCAATGATTTGGTTCTTAGCTGCCCTTGTTTTAGAAATGAAATTGGGGGAGAGGGTGAGAGGAACATTTCACCTGCTAAACAGGTAAGATGCTTCCAGGAAAACAAATTTGTATTCATTAATTATCAGATTCATATTTATGACTTGCTGAAGAAATTTGTTTGGGTGTCATTGATTGGTTGCTTCACCTCTCTTTGATCTAACTTACAGCAGGGCAGCATTGGTAGTGGAGGGAGCTCCAGCAGTTCCTCTGGTAGCACAGAAGAAGGACCCCTGGAAGCCACTCTGACTACCCATTTCACTAATGCAGGAGTGGCGGTGTTGGAGGCTGCTAAAGATGGGCAAAGTCACCATGCTGACAGGTCCAAAAGATACATAATGGAACACGTTGACCTTGGTGCCTATTATTACAGAAAGTATTTCTATCTTAGAGGTAAGAGAATTGGACAGATAACTTTGTAATTTTTTTTCTTCTTCTTTAATTGTGATTTTTTTTAAGGCTTTTTCAGAGGTGGAATAATAATTTGCATTTAAATTAGGGGTCATGCAAACTTTTTATGTAAATCACAGGTCACCATTAAGGTATTAAAGAGGATCTTTCTCAGAAATTAAGTGTCCAGATTTATCTAAAATGACTTAAGTGATGAATGCTTACTCTGGCAACAATGTATAGTTGCAAAATCCGAACTGATAGCAGACCACTTTGGACCAACGAATGGAGAAGTAATGGAGTTACTTGTAAGCACAAGGCCATATTCACCCCCTAGATTAAATCCTACATCAGAGAACCAAAGATATGACTGATCTGGTAGGTGTCATATCTGTATTGTTGGCTAAAAACTTTTAGCTTAGTTAGGTTTCATCTTTAAGGGGAGCTCTGACTGCCATTAAATGGTGTTCTTAGTCTGCATGCACAATTGGGTAAAAAGTTAGTTTTGATTTAAGTTAAGTTTATTTTTTTACCTGTCCTTTTAGGTCTAAGGTCTTCTACAGTCAGGGTTCATTTGGAACCCTATTATATCTCTGATAAATCTATAAATACTAGTCTATAAACAGCTGCTTCCTATTAGTGCTGCTTCTTTAGTTATTAGTTATTGAACACTCGTTTTTTTAGCAGTTTCTGTTTTTCACATACATATGTTGTTTTAACACTCGAACTTTTGTCAAGCCTGGAGAAAAGCTGCCGTTTTGAGTTGGAACTGAACTGGTAAAAAAATGATTTCTGCTGTTAAAGCGTTTGGAAAACCAGCTGGAAAACTTGCTGCTTTTGTCACGAAGGGTTAGAATTTGATTCATTGTTCACAGCTGCACTAAAGGATCCGACATTTAAGTTAAGGCTATAGAACTGCATCTGTTCAGCTACAACCCCAGATCCATCTAAGCTGAAGCTTGTGATAAACTGGAGGTTTTTGGAACACCACATAGTGTCCTTGTTCACAATGAAGTAGGTTTAGTATCACAACAGAATGGGAGGTGTTCCTGCTGAGAAGAAGGGGTTGTTTTTGATTTAATGAAACTTTTAGAAATATAGACAAAGCAATACGTATAAAAGGATACAGCATTGAGCTTCTGGAATAACTGAGCTACTTGGATATTTGACAGTGACAGGAAACAGACATGTTTCTGTGATGTCTACCATTCATGCTTAAAAAATCTGTGGTAAATATATGTAAACTTAATGATGCCACCGTATGACTTCTGATTTTTCAACTTTAAAGAATCCTAAGAGCATGCAACTTTCTCTTCTATGCTGCTGTACTGTTTGAACTGTCATAATCTGCCTTGCTCTTTCAGTTGTTTTCTATTACAGAGACCCTTTTATTCCTTGTGGTCATCTTAATCCAATCTCAATTGTATTCTCAATTTAAACCTTAGAGCACTGGAACTATCTGGGGGTAGATGAGAACTTGGGCCCAGTGGCGGTGAGTCTGAGGAGAGAGAAGCTGGAGGAGCACAAGGATCACGGCCAGCAGTATAACTACAGGGTCATCTTTAGAACGAGTGAGGTAAAATAACATTAAACTATAAAAAAACTCTTCTTAGTCTTAGACAGACTTCATTATCATTTTGTACAACAGAGTGTATTCAAAAATAAATTTCTGTGTGGTGTGTTTTCTGCTGGATTTGTCTCTTTATTAGTGTTTGTTTTTATCTTAGCTTTCCGTTTATCTAGATTTGCTATATTTTTAGCTGCAGCTATTGTATAAATGTTCATGAATGTGTCTTCTAAATGTGTCAATATTTAGTACATTCTGTTCAGAAGGATGTTACAGAGAAGCTATTATGAGTTCAGAATGTGTAGGAGTTAACACACAGGATCTTCACCCAGCAGGGGTTCGATGTAAAAGCCTCATGGTTGTCAGCTCCAGATTCTGGTGCTTCTGCTTTACCACCACATCAAATCATTGAATGTTTTATCTCATGTTTTGATGCATTTCCTCCAGTTTAGTCTTTGTGTTCCCAATCAGCCATTTTTTTAGGGAGTGAGTCTTCTCTAAATCACTAGTGCTAAAAATCCATGTGCTCATTCGCTGCGCTGAACGCCCACTCAGAGTCTTTGTCAGCTTTCATCTCTGAATGACTTAAAAGGTTGAATTTAGACCAGAAATATGAAAGTATCAAAGTTAAAGCATAGTTCCTGCATTAAAGCATAACATGAGTTACTGGCCTGGCGATCCCTTAGGATGACAAATAACCAATCGTGATGTTTTTTTTCTTATCTTGATTATTACTGTGCATCCCTCTATCATACGTAATATTTTTAAAAATGATTTGTAGTTTTTATTTTCTTTAAAAGTACACGTGTGGGAGTGAGTGGGATGTTTTGGCTTTGAGACCATTTTGTTCATCAAGGGCTACTGTCCTTTACTACTGTCCATCGCTCTTTTTAAGAGCATTTCTCCTCTTCACTTGATTTTAAACTGTGTTTACACCACCACAGGCACTACCAAACATAAAACAAAGACAGCCTTAAGTGCCTGTAGATGGAGACTGCCAGCACTCTTTATTTCTTCATCCTAGATATTCCAGCCTTGGACTCTGCAGTCTTCCTCATTTATTTATGGAAGTCCTCCCTGTGTCTGTCTGACCCTGAAGCTTTAGAGATTTGGATTTGAAATCTGCACACTGTTCCCCTTTTTTCTTTAGCTAGACAACCATTATACCTCTCTTTATCTTCAGAACACATTTATCTGGAGTTAAAAAAAAAAGCACAACCCCTCTCACATATGTTCTTATTGTCTACAGCTTAACACCCTGCGTGGTTCCATTCTTGAGGACGCTGTGCCATCGACAGCAAAGCATGGTCTTGCCCGAGGTCTGCCTCTCAAAGAAGTGCTGGAATATCTGGTCCCTGAGCTCAATGTTCACTGCCTGCGTCTGGCACTCAACACGCCTAAGGTCACGGATCAGCTGATGAAGCTAGATGAGCAGGGGGTGAGAAGACACAATGAACAAATTCAGAGAGTTAATTCCTGGATTACATTGAAGGCCATTAATTTTCTTAATTTTACATCTTGAAAGTGTTTTTTGAATGTTGCAACGGTTTACTAAAAATGGAGGGTTTATTGGTATGGAAATGTAACACTTTATGCTATATAATAATAAAACAAGGCTCTTTTGAAAGCTGTAGTATTCATTACTTTAAATAAAGATTAGAGACATTTGTAAGTTTTTACTGAAAAATATATTTAAAATAGCCTTCATTAACCTTTATTGGCTAAAATATAATTTGATGAGAAAACTGAGACCTCAGCAATGTGTAAATTTTTAAATATATGATTTAATGAAGGCAGCTCATGTGGATCAGAAATCCCCCTTCTTTATGTAAATAGAGCAGCAAGAAAGCCTATTTAAACAGAAGTCTTGTTTTAAGAGGAGTATTTGTGTCTAAAGTTACAAACTGTTAAACCATACAACTCCAAAGACATTGGTACTTTTTTATTGTCAGTGTTATGATTTTCATAATAAATGCCACAGAATATCTTGATAAAATGCCATATCTCAAGTCTCTGGTTGAAACCCATAATTGGAACATACCACAGCACAATTTTTAGCATGATAGAGTTGCTAACCCAATGCTATAACATTGCCCGAGGTATTGAATGATGAAATAATGATGAAATAATAAATATATGACAAACAAAAGTTCCCCTTGGATGCCCACCTACTTGGAGAAATACCAGGTGTGTTTAAAAGTTCCACTATCAGCAGCATTTGGCAAGCTAGAGTTTATTTTTATTACATTTTTTTTAGGGGTTGTGAAACAGAAAATGTTTCTCTATTTTACCTGTCATGCTTCCAAATGACTAGATGACACATGGATGGCTTCTAATGGTATTTGTGGACACTTGGTTAGTACAGGTGTCACTTTTTCTGCCATTTTCTAACTGAAATTTCAACAGATACATTTTCTCTCCTTTAAATGGTTATCATATGAGATGGCAATATAAATATAGGTCAACATAGAGCCTAAACGCCTCCATCTTACTTCGATATTTATATGAGAACGCCATTAAGTGGTTATTAACTTCTTTTTTTTTCTCCAGAATTTTAAGATAAATAAATGTAGCTATTGTTTTGTAATGATGCTGGGATTAAATCCTTGTTGCTTTTACAGAATAAAGATAGAATTGTTTTTTAGTGTGAGGATTATGCTACTGCACCGGAAAAAAATCGAAATCTAGATAAGTCACTTTTTCTTAAAATAAGTGCAGTTTTTTTCTTGAATTGAGAAGGTAAAAGAGACATTTTGCCAATACAACAAAACAATTTACATTTAAAATAAGAAAAAACAACTGCATTGTCCTATTTCAAGTACATCTTATCTAAATATCTTATTTTAAGAGTAAAAATACTAATTCCTTTGGCAAACCATCATATTTACCCACTCAAATTAAGGGTAAATACACATAATTTAAGACATTTTTACATATTTCTAGATCGTTTTTCCAGTGTGTGGTACGATAATTTCTGCAAGTCTGTTTACACTGGAAAAACGATCTAGAAACAAGATAAAATTTCCTGAGGTGTATTTACCCTTAATTTGAGCAGGTTAATTAGATAGTTTGCCAATAGAATGAGTATTTTTACTCTTAAAATAAGATATTTAGATAATATGCAATTGAAATAAGACAATGTAACAGTGTTTTCTTATTTTAAGCGTAAGTTGTCTTGTTCCATTGGCAAAATGTCTCTTTTTACCTCCTCAATCCAATAAAAAATGCACCTATTTGAAGAAAAAAATTACTTATCTAGATTTCTATTTTTCCAGTGTACACATTGATCATTGATGCTGTGGGTGCGAGAAAGTGTCGAGGGTTCTGTTTACTCACTGCCAGAACTTTGTCGACCAATTAAATACAAGGTGGTTTATCAAGGAAATAAATATTTTTTATATTTCATCAGTTGTTTGTACTGTAGGTGAACCCCCCCATATTGAGGAGGCCCTTTTTAGCATTATCATTTTCATATTCATAACCTGTTATGAGGAATTTACTCTCTAAAATTACTTTTTATGCTTAGCTTTTTTTAATAACTTTTGTGCTTTGAGGTTCAGAATAACATTTGAACCTCAAAGCAAAAAACAGGCTCCTCCATGATCATGATGGTCGCTCCCTGGAGCAATCATCAGATGTTGAAAATCTCTTAAAATGTCAACGTAATTTCTGGGGGGGGAATGGCACCACAATCACAACAGAACAACTTAATGTTGTTCCTGAAATGCCAACACAAGTTCTGCCTGAAATGTCAATAATGGGACTTTGTCTTAACTTCTACAAGGTAATTTTGCGGATTCGTCTTTTTCATTGTGTTCTCTGTGCAGCTGAGTTTCCAGCGGAAGGTGGGGGTGATGTACTGCATGGCAGGCCAGAGCAGCGAGGAGGAGATGTACAATAATGAAGCAGCCGGTCCTGCGCTGGAAGAGTTCCTCCATCTTTTGGGCGAGAGAGTTAGGCTCAAAGGTTTCAACAAGTATCGAGCTCAGCTGGACACCAAGAGTATGTATTTTTGTGATTATGACAAAAATCTAACCTTTATTTTTAGCTGCTAAGCAATAAAATGAGTGTTGATACAGGCATTTAATGCTGCTCTTTGGTAGACAGAGACATAATAATTTTTTTAATAAAATGTAGAAATCTAAAATGGTAAATGGGACGTTAGCATCAAGGTAAACAATCTACCTTCAGGGGGTTGTGCTTTAAACTTTTTTATTTGCTCATCTTACCACTTTTTAATTTTTTTGTTTTTAACAAGATTTTCATAGCCGATTACTTTCACGGCCAAATGTTGTTTCATTCTGAGTCTTTTTAAAACCACAACTTAATTCCCTGGAATATTCCAGGTTCATAGTGTTGCTCCAACGTTTCTAAGTATGCAAGACAAGTCCTGTGTGCCATCTGTGTAAATTTGCTGTTTCTCTGTGAGATTTGCTGATAAAACTTAAAAAGACAAAAAAAAAAAAGCCTTATTTTCTTTTAACTATTTGTGGACTGTTAAAGAATAGTCCATAGCTTTTGATCACAAATCTGATCACCAGCTGATTTAAATGTGAATGTGGAAGTCTTAGGAATGTTGGGTTGTAACTTGTAAATGCTGTAAGTGTTAAAATCAAAGCATTTTTTTGTTGATTTTTTAATTTTTTTTTGTCTTTGTGCTGAATATTTTAAAATATGTTAATTTATTATTTTGATGTCCTTGAGAAATGAACCTACTCTGGTCTGTCCACAGCGGATTCAACAGGCTCCCACTCCTTGTATACCACCTACAAGGATTATGAGATCATGTTCCACGTGTCAACAATGCTTCCCTACACACCCAACAATAAGCAACAGGTATAAAAGGCGTTCATGGAAAGGAGTAACAGGAAGCGTAACAGCTTCCACACAATGATGTTGATTTTTAAGAGTATTCCCTGATCCTGTGACATCCTGTATAAATAAAGGATTAAGTAGCTGATTGTACTATTTTACTGGAATGCAACTATAAAGAGCTTGCTGTCTTTGAGAGGTCTCTTAAGTTTTAATTTCTAATCTATTTTTTTTTTCCTCATCGACCTTGTGCAGCTGCTGCGGAAGCGGCACATAGGGAATGACATCGTAACAATCGTGTTCCAGGAACCTGGAGCGCTTCCCTTCACTCCTAAAAACATTCGCTCTCACTTCCAGCACGTATTTGTGATTGTGCGGGCTCATAACCCCTGCTCTGAAAACAGCTCCTACAGGTGAGCTTCAGAAACACGGTGTACTGTAAATCTAGATACTGCCTTCTTTCTCTTCCTTTACTCATTTTTACTTTATAGCATTTTAGCTCTATTTTTTAAAGATATAGTCATGTGTCAAAAACAAAAAGAGTGCTTTTTAAACCTGGCAAGGCAAGGCAAATGTATTTGTATAGCACAATTCAGTACAAAGACAATGCAAAGTGCTTTACATGATTAAAATATAGGAAAATAAAACAGAATCAAAGCAACTAAGAAAAAAAAAAAAAATAAGATAAAAAATGCAGAAACAAAAAAGAATATTAAAAATAGTTGGACTAAAGAAAATAAAAAAGTTGAACTAATGATGTTTAACTAGAACAGTCGAAGGCAATCCTAAAAACCTTTTTTTATTTGAATTACCAAATTTTACATGTGGGTTAATTATAGCTTTTAACAAAGCTGAAAGACTCAAGTGATATAATTAGAATTTTGGTAAATTCTAATGAGAAAATTATTTCTGATGACTAATACATTGGTCTCTATTTAGGTGTAAATAAAAAAGATTTCTCCAGTTTGAACATCTGATATTATTTTAGTGATGTATTTTGTAATGTTGAGGTAAAAATGCACCTCATGGTAGGACTAAAAGAGCCATCTGTGGCGTTGAGAGAGATTTTATTAGTGTTTGTGTCTGATAAGGGATTTAAAGAGTTCTCAAAAGAACCTGAAATGAGTTCCATTAGGGGAAAAAAAGGCTTGCATGATGAACATACTCAAAGCAACTGCAAACATTCCCAAATCTGGTCATGGAGGAGTCAAATTATTATGAGAAAAAACTTCAAATAGTTCATATAGGGCATAGCGGGGGTGCATGGGTAGGGTGCACTAACCAGATTTAGTCCTCCTTGGGTGCGAGTCCAGACCTATGGTCATTTGTTCATCCTATTTCTGTCATATTACCTAAAATAAAAAAGCAACTAGTGCAAAAATAAAAATACACAACAAAAATATTGATAAATAAAACATTTTTTGGGGGATTTATTTTATTTTGATTGTTGTTTCTTATTAACCATATTTCATGAGGGCTGAAAGAATGATACTATTGCAATCTTGCCCAGAGTTTTGTACTTTAAAACAGCAAACTATTATGAATCTATGAGTGTAGAAAATCTTCTCTTTAGGTAAAAAAAAAAAAAAAAAAAACTTTTTTTTTTATGTGTAATATTTAGAAAATGCACAAAACCAGACTTTCTCCTTAACAAAAGTTTTGTAATCAGTACACCTAGCCTTAGCTTTAGTGTTCAACATCAAAAGAAATGTTATTCAGTTTATTTACCTCACTCTTATCTAGTTTTGTTCTTTTTGGTCACACTCCATTTGACTCCAATCATTGCTGCTTTTAATTGCTGTGTGAGCAAGTTGTGTGAAGCCTTAATCTTCCCCCATGTGGCTACTTGAATACAAAGCATCAACAAATAAACACACGTGAGCAATAAGCCCTGTGGCACAGTGGATGTCGAACAAATCCTTTTGTCTTCCGTCTGTGATTCATAAATGTGAAAGAACTAGATTCGATGCATACACGATAACATGTTTCACCAAACATGAATCATTGTCTCCGCAATTCAAAATTCACATTGACTAAGATATGATACAATAAATACAGTTTAATTAAAAACATGAGGTTTACATTTCAGGGGTTGAATCAAAACAAAGCAGATCTTAAACTCATCCAAAAAGGCTGTCCAGATCATATGAAATGGGAATAGGATATAACATAACCTCATATGTGATGACATAAAAGTCAATAGTTAGTGAATATGAAAAATGTTCTTGATGGGTCTGCTCTTAAATCAGTTTTCCTCTTTTCTCAGGTAAAGCAATCTAACCTTAAAAGGCTTTTGTTTTGTTCCATTGTCCCATAAAGACTGAAACGTGATAAACTTCATGCACCTTTCCCCACATTTAAAACACTAAACACTGGTCCACCTCTAAACTTCCCACAGCGTGAAGTATTGACTTTTTCTTTCTGCTTTTCTTTTTCTTGGCCTGGCTTGGTGGGCAGCTGTTTGTGGCTTCTGGAAGAGCAGACTGCCCACACTCTGGATATTTATAAGCCCACAAATCACTCAAACCACAGGAATTAACTCTTCAATTCCCTTTGTTCAACTTCCTTCCACGAAGATGCCCAAGAAGCCTCATTGTCTGGCATTTCCAATTGTATTGTATTCCTCTCCTCCTCGCCATCCTCAGCCTCACCTTTAGTTCATCTCTCTGTATGCGGTCTTATTCTTTGCTTTTCTTCCCCTAACTGTATATCACCATCACAGGCTCTGTCCTGCATGAGTCATAGGCCGTGACTCAACTTACTCACAGGTGTTTGAGATCAGCCAAGTGCTTTCAGAGCTTCAGTATAATGCATTTAGCAGCATCTGTAGTGATGGAAGAGAATAGGATTGAAAGGTCTCATTCTTTTTACTCTGACTGCTTGTGAACCCACTTCAGCTCTCCTCTCTGAAATACCCTATGATTCATTACTCATTTAAAGAGCTGCAAGCATATATAGCTGCATTACTGTCGATTTCTTGTGTAGGAGTTGTCAAAAATCTTTTAGATTGTTACTAATTCTGTGTATGGGAACATTGCTAACATTATTTATCCTGCACTTGCTGCTATTGCACTTCTGGTTAGACCTAAACTGCATTTCATTGCCTTGTACCCGTACCTGTGCAATGACAATAAAGTTGAATCTAATCTAAATCTAAAGTCTTGGTATAACATCATAATCGACATGAGTTTTTTTTAATTAGTGGAGTGTGTTCTTTTTTTAGGGTGGATCATCAAAATAAGTGGTCCTCCTAATTGTCAATCATTCTGGTGATACGTTTAGGTAAGGCTCATCCCCATTGCCACTCTGAGTCTGACATAGTGGAAAAATTTGGAAAGTAAGCCTGTATGTGCAATGCAAACAGCAGCTTTTAAACAGAGCGTGCACAAGGAGAAATGGGCTTGTGCACACTCTCGTATGCATTTAACAGCCATTCTCTCTCCGGTATAGGGTTATGCATGTGCATATTTTTATGAAGTGGAGATGACGCGTCTAAGATTCGTGAAAATCCTCAATTATACTTGTAACTGTTTTAACGCCCTATGTTGGGGCGTCACCGATATGTTCTAATTAACTAGTTTGGAATTATGTTGGGTCACAGGGGCCAACTTATGCTTTCAACATTTATCAGTGGTCCTACCTTAGGATCATTGATCACTGTAGCTTCCTGTGAAACATCGAACATAGACAGGGAATTGATGGGCTGGACTACCAAGGATGTGCATGTCCTGTAGGCTATTTCCATCACAGAGACTCCAGCATTCCTAACACCATGCCTTCCTGCCACAACTGGGATTCAACCATTTTTGTGATTTTGTGAAATGAATGTGGACATGACCTAATGATTTATGTTTCCTATATGTAGTAAACAGTAAACATCACAGCTATAAAAGCTCACTTTCCCTTTCCATTTCACATTTTTTTCTTTTTTTTGTATTTTTGTTTTTATTTCAATGTGCAGTGATGGCTATGTAATGGCTGCTGGTTTTCTTGCTTTTCTGCATAATCTTTTTGAGTAGACTTGAACTACTTTTACCTTGATGGGAATGTGAGCTAACCTTTGACATGCTATCTTTTTCCCCTGTTTGAATTTGTTTAAAATCAATTCTTGTTCATCCTGGAAGGCTATTTTGGCCAAGGAAAAATGTTTCCTCTTTTTATATCAGTCTCTCACAAAGAAGGAAATGTGGGAAATAAGTTGTCAACATTTTGAAGGCAAGCATAATTGAACACCACACGTTTCTGTTGAAGACAGGGGGTCTCTAAGGTATGTTTAGAAATATGTGGGGGATAGAGGTATTGCTTATTAGGCAGTGAGATTAATCCGAGTGTCAACATGTGCGGATGCTTGTCAGCGGGGAGTTGTGTGGGATGGTTGCTCCGACTTCCAGTGCTTCTATTGTCACCTTGCAATTATCACCTGTGATAGGTTTTTGTGATCGAGTTCTAGAAAAGTTGAACCATGTAGGAATATAAGCTTCCCAGGCCAGCTTTGTAGTGTTTTATTGTTTCTCATTCCCCCACCTGTTTGCATTGTTTCCCCATTCTGTCAGCCTTTTATTCACTTTTTCTCAGATACATTTTCCTTTTTTTTTTTCCACCCAGGAGTCACATTTGGCAACATGCTTGGAAAAGCAGTCATGGTGCATCCTATTTTTTTTTTCCAATCTGTTCATGGTTTTTCAGTTGAATTCCTGACATGCCAGAAAGGGCAGACTGCCTGAAAAGTCCCTAGGGTCTTACTTAAGGAAAAACAAGGCACAATACACTACATACACACTTTAATATGTAACAGGCATAGTATGAGGTTGAGATTATCACAATATAACATTAAATAAACAGCGACATTTGACAATACTCCAGTATTCAAAGGTGTTATAAAAAAAAAAGTATAATTTATTGGAGGTAGATTAGATAGGTTTAATTTAAAGAAACGCTGTGGAACCTTTGACCAAAGGGTTAAGTTATTTAAGATGGATTTTTTGATTCTTTTTTTTAGGTAAGTATGTTCCATGCAGGCTGCTCATCACAAAAAAATGCCTGTGTAACTTGAGAGGGTAGGATCCATCCCTGAACGGGTCATGTGACCCAGAGCACCACTCTACTGCGTTTTTAATTCAGGATACATTATAGATAGAAGTGTAGAAAACTGTTTATCTCCAGGATTTTTTATAATTCAAACTTTATTTTTTGTTAGATGTAGATATGAGTCCCAGTTCCTATTTATCAAAAAAGAAAACTTTCCATTAAAAAGGGCCTTTTGTCTTTTAGATTTTAATTTAATTACAACACAACTGTTGGTTTTTGCAGTATTGACCAAAATAAATCTATAATTTGATGCACCCATTCAAGAATAAGGTAAACCCTGCTGCTCCTTTTAACCTCTAAAACTTTCTTAGATCATGGTTAAGAATGGGCCAGAGATTCCCTCTCTGGTTAAGGATATCAAAACATTTAAGCTTCTGCTTTTTTTAAAGAGTTTTCATAAACAGAATGTATGTTTGACTGACAAAAAAAAACCCAATCTATTTAGAGAAGCACAAAACAGTTAAGAGTCAAAAAAAGATCTTGAGGGGGAAAAAAAAAGTTGTCTGGAAAAGTAATGTTTAAATTAGAAGAAGAAATGTTCAAAATATAACTTTTGAAAAACCTCTATGCATTTCTCTGCTTGGTAAGAAAACATCCTAAAGCTTGTGAGGTTAAGCTATCTATTCATAAATAGTTCCAGTTTTAGATGGGGATTTACTGTTAGATTGTTCTGTAACAAATCAATAAATACATTTTTTGGCCACTAATTTCCTAATCTAGACCAGGTGAAAGTACAGATTTAAATATGGATTCTGTTTTTGGGTCTTTCTTTCTATTCCTGTTAGACTTATTAGTTTTTTCTCTTTCAGTGTGGCAGTCACCCGTTCCAAAGATATGCCCTCGTTCGGCCCACCTATCCCAGAGGGCGTGACCTTTCCCAAGTCATCTGTGTTCAGGGAGTTCCTGCTGGCCAAAGTGATTAATGCTGAGAACGCTGCCCACAAATCTCATAAATTTCGGGCCATGGCCACCCGAACGCGCCAGGAGTACCTGCGGGACCTGGCAGAACGCCACACCACCAGCACCCCCATTGATCCATCAGGAAAGTTTCCTTTCATTTCTTTGGCTCATAAAAAGAAGGAGAAGACCCAGCCATATGAAGGAGCAGAGCTGCGCAGCCTCGGGGCGGTGACCTGGCCAGTTTATGCTGAAGATCACGGAAACGGAGGAGAAATCGAGGCCCTCTTGGCTATTTCCAATGACTTTCTGATTCTGTTGGACCAGGAGGCCAAAGCTGTGGTGTTCAACTGTGCTACTAAGGATGTGATTGGCTGGACACTCAGCAGTCCCGCTTCCTTAAAGATTTTCTATGAGCGGGGAGAATGTGTGTCTCTGAGGAGCATCGGCAATAATACAGAGGATTTCAAAGAAGTGATCAAACGTCTTGAGGTAAAAAATAAAATAAAATAATAATATATATATATATATATATATATATATATATATATATATATATATATATATATATATATATATATATATATATATATATATATATATATATATATATATGTGTGTATATGTGTGTATATGTATAAATAATATGCACATAGCAGTACATTTTATACATTATAAAATGTTTGCATGTTTAATTCAGTTCTGCTCAGAAATACCTTTTGAATTTGCATTTGAAAAATCTGAGAAAGAGGAAACTAATGATGCAGTATTGGATCAAACACCAAATAAAAGAAATATGTTTTTGGTACTTCCCTGACCTATTCACAGGCTCTCATTTTACTGGTGGTGGTCAGTCTTTCAGAATGAAACATTTTTTGTTTCTTTCGCCTGCTAGCCTGTTGTTTCTTCATAGGTCTCAGTTTATTGAGGGGAGTTTAAGAAACACCTCTGGACAACATTCTGCTAATGGCTCATACACCTACACATACAGTGAAGTGATGCTTATTCCTTCTTAGCTGTTTCCATGGAAACTGGTCAGGAAAAATGTTTTTTCTTATATAATCAGTAGAGCCTAAAATCCTTAATTTGCCTTCTGCCTTTAATGCATAAGTGCATGCATGTTTACATGCACATGTGCTTTTCTTATTCATTTTTACTGTGTGATGTAAATAAATTAGGCTAGCATTGTTTTATTTTTTTTCTTCTTTACATACATTTTACATAGGAATGCCAACAATGGAGTTAGACATACGTTTACTGATCCATTGTGTGCTTATTGGTGGAGTTTCTTTTTTCAGCCTTCCCATTTCCAGGTCTAGTGAGATGAAGCACAGTTGCCTCTACGCACTCTTCCATCTTCACCTGAATAATAGGAGTCACTGGATAAAATAGAAGTTCAAGAAAGTTTCCCTCTTGTTAACACATCTTTGTGTTCACACAGAGTCAAGTTTCACTGATAGAGTGCTCTCTCCTTCATGCACATCTGTTCACTGCAGATTAATTTAGAAAGCTGTATTTTCAATGGGACCTCATGCTTTTTTCCCTAAACTCTCTAACGGCTTACTTATATTGTCTAAAAATTCCTTAAACTTCAGTAGAACCATATTTACAGAGCCAATTAAAGTGACAATCCCTAAAGTTTTAATTATCTTAGGTTAAGTAAATTAGATTTACCCTGTTGATTAATGGATGTTTCTCTCTCTATCTGTTTGTCCAGTTTCTTACTAAAGGCTGTGAGACAACAGAGATGACGCTTCGCCGAAATGGTTTGGGGCAGCTTGGCTTCCACGTTAACTATGAAGGGATTGTGGCAGAGGTATTTTTTCTCCATCATAAATGTTTTATCTTTTTTAAAACTGTAAGGATCATTGCACATTTGGTCATGATGTAATTGTGAGTAATTTCGCAAAAAAAGTGTTTGTATTTTATCATATTATTATCCATGTACAAATGTGTTTTGAAAATAGCTATTTTATTTGAACTCTTTATTGCCATGTAAAGCAGTAAAAATCTCTTATCCTCTTATTTAGAAAAGTGTAAATAAGTAGGCCTGATCATTGTGCTAAACACAATAAACATCAATAATTTAATTGAAGATGATTATCAGTTTTTTCTATTAAAATTAATGGACATTTAGGTTGTAAACCAGGATCTGGCCCATGCAGATATATTCAGCCCGACGTAGCCCGATGACCTTTTTACCTTTCTGGTACTTTTTCAGAATATAATATTCCCACTATTTTCTGTTCTAGTTGCCTCAGCCTGGCTCCACCATAACCCATGTTATTATTAGCAATGTTAGCACACAATAGCTTTACAACTAAACTGAGGAGTAATGGAGGATGCCACACTGGTTTATTGTGTAGTCTTCCTGTTTAGTAGGGGAATGAGATGTTGCCTTAATGATGTTTTCTTGGGTTTATTGTATTGTAGTAAAACAGAGCAGGTTTCACGTGACATGCTTAGACCAACAGATCAGTGTCAATTGGCTTTGATTGTTTCTTTAGCTAATATTAAAAAGATAATGTTACATTTTTGTCATCTGGGACATTTACTAATAGGCTTTTGCAGATAAACGAGCTTTCATTACTTTTTAAAATGGCTCTCAAACCTAAGAGTAATAGCATCAGTTAGAGCGTTTTCATTTTTTTTTGTTCCTCTTCATCTATCTTATAAGAAGAGTTTTGGCTGCACTAGACATGTTAGCAGAGGTTAAGCTTCCAGCAGCTTCCAATGGTTTAGGTCAGCAACTTCAGAGATGGGAGGGGCCAAATGTCTCTGTAGGTACAGGACAATTTAGGGATATGTCACTGGATCAGTTTTAATTTGTGTTTTATGCAAAGGAGCCTTAGAGTAATATTCTTAGTATCAGCTCAATCAAAATATCAATTATTCTGCCAATTCTGGAGAGGTCAATATAGTGCAATGACAACCTGTCATCTGTTTTTCATCACTGCTCTCTTTACATACAGCTGCAGTTTTCAGTTATCCCACCTTGATATAAGTCATTTAGAATTTGGCTGCTTGCATATTGTAATTAGTAGGAAAAAAATGCTCTCCTTTGGAAACTTAGCGCTTTGGTTTAAAAATGACGGGAGCAGGTCTCCCGATGCTGAAAAATGATAAACATTAAGACAGCAAGAGAATCTCCAGGTTTGTGCACAGTCCTAGAAGAGAGTTTTGTGGGCCGTCCAACTATCCCAGCCTACTCTTGTTTGAACATTTGTGGTGGAGTTTGCAGCCTCGTGGCTCACAAGGAGTGATGCTGACAGTCACATACTTTTCAACAGCATTTTATATGGGTCTCAGATACCAGTTGTTTTTACAAAAGACATAATTAAGTCTTTTTTGATTCTTTAAAACCATTTTCAGTTCTTCAGAGTTTCTCCAGCTTAACCAAAAAAAGCCAATCATTGTATTTAGATCGTATCCGTGTTCCTTTTCATAAATTATGTAAACTAGTTAAGCAAATCGTAAAACTAATTAAGAGGTGGTAGTGTTCATTTCTGCACCTCTGATTGCAAGTTTTTAGTTTTAGGGCAATACAGTGAAACTTTTTTGTTCGCAGGTGGAGCCATATGGATACGCCTGGCAGGCGGGACTCCGTCAGGGCAGCCGATTGGTCGAAATCTGCAAAGTCGCTGTTGCAACTCTGACCCACGAGCAGATGATTGACCTGCTCAGAAATTCTGTGACAGTTCGTGTTGTCATCATCCCACCACATGATGATGCAACTCCACGCAGGTAAGAGGGAAACATGCAGACAGACTTACTGCTGTACAGTTGCATCCCCATCAAAGGTCTGATTCTAGGATGTAAATTTTTAGAGTGAAAGATGGTCTCTGAGGTCAGTAATTTAAATCTGATTGATCAAAAATAAATGCTTTTCCAACCTAATTGAATTTGTTTCAGGATAGTTTCCACTTCATGTCTGAAGACCTTTTCTAATTAACTAATAAAATCAATCCACTGTTATAGCTCCAGCTTTTGAGTGCAGTCAAATCACTTTTATATGCAAATCGGAAAAAAAAACTGAGGCTCCGAGGAAATATAACAAATACGACCTTTTATATGCATCGTTTAACAGTCCCAAATCCCAAAACTATGTCAATAGAGAAGAACATTTTAACTCAATTTGTCCTGTTTTTTTAGGGGTTGCTCAGAGCTCTATCGAGTGCCGGTGTCTGAATACAAAGGCAGCAGCACAGACAGCGGCTCCTTCGAGTACAAGTTCCCATTCCGCAGCAACAATAACAAGTGGCAGAGGACATCCAGCAGCCCTCAGCAATCCCTGACTGCTTCACCACAGCCGCACACACCCAACCGAGCCGTCAGCCTGGGCAGCTCGGTGGGAAAGACCCTTTCCGCTGAGAGGTTAGAGAGAGGCGCTGCCATTCCACGCAGTGTCAGCAGCGATGGTCGACCTCTGGACCCCAAGAGGTCAGAGCTGTTTAGCTTTCTAAACGTGGATTGAAAATGTAGATGGATACTAAAAATGGCTGGAAATGTATATATATTTTCCCCTCCAATGATGCATTTATATTGTTTTGTAATGCTTGGTTGTTTTCCAGGATGTCTCCTGGAAGTGAGAGCTACAGCCTGGCTTCCTCCTTGGCTTTAGGTTGTTCTCCTCACAACCGCAGCTCTCCCAGCAACCTGTCATGTTCTAGTGATGCTTCTGGAAGCTCTGCTCACTGGAGGCAGAAGTCCATGCCTGAACAGTAATGTCTCTAATGTTTCATATTCAATCTCCACACAGATATATTCTATAAACTTTAAACTTGCCCTGAGGCACTAACTTTGTCATCATTATTCATCCTGTGTTCATCTTAATGGTATAAAAGCAACGAAGCAATCATTAGTTTTCACATGTGGTGGATATGGAATATATAGACTTAGATATTTCAGTCCCAAAAAATATAATTGCAGTATAATTTGATTGAAAATACAGTGTATTTGTTAGACAGCTGTGATATTTCAGAGTAAGGTGCTCTCACTTCACTTCCACCCACTAAAACCCAGAGGCAGGTTATGTGTTACTGTTTTTTTCTTGCCCTACTTTTTGATCATTTATAATATGTTAAAAAAGTATTTTCTCAAGTAATCTTTTTTTGTGCCGATAGGTTTGCAAGCAGCCGACATTCTCCTATGTCATCAGAGAGAAGAGAGGTGGCTGGAGAGGGGGGCTCCAGCGGGAAATCCACTCCCAACTGGTCAAGAATGGAGGAGGGTGGAGGTGAACGGGGGTCAACAGGTAAATTAGAGAAACCATCTCAAATGTGCAGAGTCCTGCCTCATGAGCCACACTGCTGTGATATATGTCTGAATGCAAATGTATGCAAATGGTGATTTTAAACATGCAAAGAGTGGGTGCAGGTTATGTATGCAATGAAGGGGGAGACAGGAAATGAAAGAAATCTTCTAAATTTATCTGCTTTAAAACCTTTGAGATGACAGGTATCAGGTGAAGAATGTGAATAGTGCTTGCGTAAGATGTAACTCTGACAGCAGCCTTACTCAACACTCATTGGCCTTGTTATTTCTCCCCCTCTCCCCCTGCAAGCTGGGAATTATATGGGCTTCACAGACGTCTTAATGTCTATTCAAACAAAAAGGTGGAAAAGTTTTTTTAGTTCAATTGTAAGTTAGCATGAATGGATTCTCACTTTCCTTTCTATTCTGAGGCTTATTAAAGGCATAGGAGAAACGGAAGACACGTCTGTCTCTTTTGTCAACACAACGTCATTGTGTGCCTTTCCTTCCTTCCCTCCTTCCTGTCTGTTCCTCATTTTCCGTTGGTTCTCCAGTTTTCCTCTCATTCATCTTTTAATTTTTTCATTCCCTTTGATTCTGTAAGAATAATGTCGTCTACTTCTTTATTGCTTTATATTTTTTGAGAGTCACAAAATCAGATTTTCTTCCTCAGATTCCAAGCAAAATGTTGCTTTGATTGTCAACCAAATTTAGTTTGTGCCATGTCCTCAACCTGCTGCCGACCACCACAATCACAGCTGTAGGCCACGGTCTGTCATTTTGGGGTTGTTTGTAGCCTTTATGTCAGGACTGGTTAGGGAGGAATGGATCGTACTGGGGAAGTTTAGCTGAAGTCAGCCAAGATTCCAGCCCTCAAAAAGCTTTTTCTGTTGTGGTTTGGTTTGGACTTCTGTCTTTTCCTTTGCCTCCCATTTTTACCTCCTGACCCTCTAGTTTTCAGCAAGGTTAGCGTGGCCAGCCTCTATCCAGAAATATAAGAAGTCATACAAAGTGCACTGGTTTTGCTGTTGGAGATTCTTTTTATCTCCTGATTATATTGTCCAGTGTCTAATAAAAATATAGATATCCTTTGAAGATAAAATAAAACCCTGAAAATCAATGCATGTTTATCTTTCTGCATGGCAGATCAACAAAAAGTACAGCATAGTTGGAAGGTGGAAGAAAAGGGTTACATATAGGGCTGCAACTAACCTTTACGTTGCCAACCAATTATAATCTGTCCATTTTTTTAAATAAATAATGGGATAGCCAAAGATTCTTTAAAAAAGACTTCTTTTGAAATTAAACCAGGTAAAACTGAAACTTTTCTACTTGAGGAGCATATGAACAGTCAAAAAAAATCTTAAATGCAAAATGTTCATATATATATATATATATATCTATATATATATATATATCTATATATATATATATATATATATACATATATATATATATATATTTTTTTTTTTTTTTACATTTTTGATATAGTTAATATGGAAGAGGATTAGGGCCACTGGGAAAAAAAAAAAAAGTTAACTGATTTATACATTTTATTTCAGTTTAACATTCTGGTCTCAGAATTCTGACTTTAATCTCAGAAACTTTTTTCTCAGAATTACATGAAGGAAGAGATGGTGGAGCACTCAGCTTCACTGACAAAGATGTGAGTTGTTTGAGGTGGCCAGTGACACATTGGTGGAAAATGACAGAATTGGGCAACTTTTTACGTGCCTGAGGGGTCCCCTCATTAATGGAGGAGCAGAAGGTCATTAAAACAAGAGAGCTAGTCTCTAAAAAAGACATGGCTATGGCTTGATGCTAACATGTTTGTTAGCTGTCAGAATTCTGAGATTAAAGTCAGAATTCTGTGAAATTTTTTTTCCCATATTAAACTGAAATAAAATTTGAAAAATCTGTTAACTTTTTTTTTTTCAGTTGCCCTAATCCTCCTGCTGAACCAGACTAAATGTGAGATTAAATCTGTAATTTAGTCTGGCCACGATGAATGAGACATTGCAAGATTGTTGATGAGAACAACCCGTTGTTTTTCAAACCATGTCTATGCTTATTGGCCAACGGTCTGACCAATGAGCGCAACTGACTGTGACGTAGTAAATGCGACAGAAAGCTGATGGAGGAGTGTAAACAAACAGCCTGTTGGTAAAACGGCGAATATGTCCTTCTTAAAAATGAATAAGCGTAGAGCCTCTTCCTGCTCACTTTTCAACAAAAACCTCAACTCTAATCCTTCCAAAACTGAGTCAAACCAGAACTTTTCAATAGTTGTTGCTACCTTCCTTGTTGTGCTTTCTCCAGCGTCACACAGCTTTATCGTCATGCCCTAGAAACCCCACCCGCTTTGCATCCAGAAATCCAAAACACATCTCTGCGATGTGATTGGCCAGCCAGTTCTAGGGCCTGGGACATTGATCGAGGCTAGACCACTCGCGGACTAAAATGATTTTGGCCGCTGGCAGGTGGGGCTAGTTTACTGGACTACCTCTAAGTGGGTCGCTCTGTCAGCTAAAGTTATATTTTACAGTCTCTATACTCCAGGTAACAATTAATCGATTACTAAATTAGTTGATTAATCATGATTAATCCAATTAATTGTTTCACCCCCAGTTACGTGTTTTACAAATTATCTTTTAGCCTAAAAATCTGAAAAGTGTTGAGCACATTTCTTTTCAGCTCCTATTAAACATCAATTTGTGAAGCTGCCTTTTTAATTTATTTTAGAAATTTATTCTTTACTATTTGTTGAATGTTAAAATGATAGTATTGTGACTAAGCATTTCCAGTTTAATCTTTAGAGAAATAAAAAGAGTTTATTTACCTTCTTCATGCCCACCTTCTTCATGCCCACCTCTTTCTTTCCCACCGCATCAACTCCTCACTCATGTCCTCATAAATTGGCCCCTTCTAAGGCTTTATTTATTTTATATACACACTTAATATAAATTATATTTTCATTTTCCTCTTTTCGCAATTTGCCACGCTGCAAATCTGAACAGATGCAAGCCCCTCCTTTATAGGGGCGTTTCCATGTTTTAATAATAAAGTATCGCGCCGTTACCTGAAAAGTTCCCCTTTTTTATTCACTTGACAAGTTTATGCCTCAGTGACCTTTTTCCTCAGGCTTATTATGGATTTTAGTATTAAATATTTACCAGCTTACCAGAACCTGTCTTCAACTTTCAACAAAATGCCAGAAGGAATAGACAAAATCCAAAGTGGGCAGTTTTCATTAAGTGTTTCTCTATTTTCATGTCTCAACACTGGGGACAGGAAAGACAAATCGGCTCTGTTTTGATTTGGAAATGAAAAAAAAACGGGATAACTGAAGTAATTTCCTTTTTTGGTTTTGGGTTTTCAGAGAAAAAACTAAAATGCCTGACCGTACATGAACCATAAAGCCCTCTGCGGTGTCTGTTATCAGAAGCAACTGTCCTTTGCTGCATGACAGACGGTTTACACTTTTGATTGATCTATTCATTTCTGATAATGGACAACTCATCATGTTTATTTTGAGATGAGCCTAACCGATCTCCAATATGGGCTGCTGGATTTTTTTGAGGCCTCTATGTACTTATATTGCTTTTTCTCTGTTTAGACAATAAAAACGACACAATGATTAAAAATATTACAATGGTCTAATTTTTAACAAAAAAAAACCCATTTATTAAAGGATCAAACATGATAGCAAATAGATATGGTGGCAGTGCATGTGATTTCAATGCTGCTAGATCCACAAAGAATTGGTCGAATGTACGTTGTTAACCTAGTACTTGGTCTGTGTGTTTCTATACATTTTAGCTCACTGTACTGTAATTGTTTTGTTGTTAGTCTAAGTAGGTAGTTTTAGGTTTTATTGGGTGGCTTTTACAGTCTGTGTTGGGATGCAGATGAAAAATAGCCCTCTGCCTAATCCTGGCATATTGACAAAATATTATTGATATGCACTGCCACAGTAATTGATAATCCAAACTACAAAAAAAGGCTATTTAAAGACCTATACAGTTCTTTAGGTTTTCGTTTTTTCACTTTTTTTGTGTTTAAGTTTCAGATTTAGGGTTAGATGCCACCTTAAGTTTGTCTGTTAAAATGCAATCCACATAAAATAGCTAGATGTCAGTGATTATAACAGGGAGAAACGTTAAAAATTTTGAACGTGGTTAAAGAGAAAGTACACTTATCTCTTTAATTTATGTTGATTACATGAATAATTAAGCTGAGCATTTTTATTAAAATTACAGGTGGTATCAAAGAGTTAACTTTATCTGGGTTAGCTAGAATATGTGGAAAGCAGCCGGGATTTGCAGCACATTAAATGTAAATCCACAAGAAGTCAAACAATCCGGTTTACACATGTGCACCCAGCTCTAATTAGTGCAGCGAGCCCTGTGGACTCCAGTGCAACACCACTAAGTAATAAATATTCTAAATGAGATGGAAACTATGGTTTAGTTTCATCCCAACAGATGTTACTTTTCCACCACTAGCTCTCTCTTCATCTCATGCTGCTGTGCTCATTAACTGCCTGCTCTCTATTTCTCATTGCATAACAGATAGACAATTACACAATAGTCCCATTTATGCCAGGGTTTACTTCAGGACTCTGTCATGCTGCACATCTCTCTCAGACCAGGCAGAGCCAGCAGGGGGACATTTTTTTTTTATCTGCATCACTTTTAATGACAACTGATCTGGGATTTTGTTAATAGATGATGGGAAGGCAAAATGAAAATGGAGTGAGTGCTGTGAGGTTTTGACGCATAACGATGCATTGAATTGTCAGCAGCCGTTCTGTGCTGCAGGGCCCGTCCATGTGTGTCACCAACCGCTGCTTTGTTTGACATTCTTGCAGAGGCCCCAGCTTCCAAGTCAGGCCAGAGCTACTCTGGAGCTCCTCGTATCCAGAGGCAGGAACAAGTCATCCACCTCTCACCAAAGAAGGGTAGCCAGGTCAGAATTAAAACATTTTGTGAAATGTTTTTCTTTCTGGTTATATGTATTTTTTATATAAAAGAAATTAAAATTCTGTTATTTATTTTTTGTCCTGGCAGTCAGATGGCCCTTACTCTGGTCACTCCAGCAGTAACACTCTGTCCAGCACCGCTTCCAGTGGTGGCCACAGTGACAGTGACAAATGGTATGACCTGGGAACAGGAGGAGGGTCCAGCGGCGACCAGGGGGAGCCGGAACCAAACGGCCTGGGAGGAGGAGGCTACCTCCAGGGTGCCTCAGCCGACAGTGGAATCGACACTGGCTCTTACGGAGCCTCCCATCATTCCCATCCCCATTCCCACCATGGCAGCACTGCCTCCCTGCTGGCCCCCAGTGGGAGCAGAGAAAGCAGGGAACGCTCTTCGTCTCCGTGGCACAGTCCGACTGAGGGGGGTCGAAGGATGCTGGAGAGGTCACCTGCTGCTGCTGAGTCTCCAGGTCCTCCAGCAGAAAGAAGCCATGAATCGGTGGGTCGAAGCCCACCGACCCATCTTCTGGTTAGGGACAGCAGTACTTTCAGCCTGGGTGACGGTGGATCACATTCAAGGTCAGTTTGTGCAATTAAATGTAAATTTGCATTTCAGAAAAATAGAAAATTATATTCTGTGTATGATTGTTTTTTTTAATGGATTGTATTTTTTAGGAGGCCTGTGCGTAATTTGTGTTCTATGGCAGACCTCTAATAGTAGACCATTTTAGCAGCAAAGTGCTGTCGTTTGCTGTAAATCCAAAGATTTTTTTCATCTATATGTTTCTCCATGTTTTATTGGACACAACATGGCAATCCATCTGGATCCTGCATCCCCTACACAGATGAGGCTGTTCTGAACCTCCTCTTATATCAACACAACTAGCTCAATCGTTTTTTGTTTGGCAGAGGACTCGCATTCCTGAGATTTCCATTCATGCTGTTTTAAACTGACCCCTCTTTAATAATCAAGACCTGAGAATGGGATCTTTAAAGTAGCTGGAAAAAAATAAATCCTATAACCTGGAAAAGGAATTCAGTGTTTGGTTGAATTACATGTGAAATACACCCCAGCTTTCTTTGAACTGAACAATAATTCATGGAAGGTTGTGGTTCTGGATTTGCTGGCAGACACATGATCCAGCCAGAGGTAAGAATCTAAAGCAGATGGTAAAACACAAACTGCTTAAAGTTATAAAATCAATGAAGAAATTGTTGACCTGTTTTTACTCTTTAATGTATTTATTTACTGTTTTATTGCTTTATAATTGTGCCATCATTTAACTATCTGCTTACAATCAGCCTAAACAAACACGTAGATTAGTCAAAGTATATTGAAAAGCAACAGTAGTTTCATAAATGTGTGAAATTGAATCAAAGTTTTATCTCTTCTTTTTACGAAGTTGAGCTTATTTTTTTTGGGGGGGGGGATTTGACTCCTTTATATCATATCTTGTCTCAACACGTGTCTCGCCACTGCAGTGTCATTCCTGTTCTCATTACTTGTGCCAAAATTTCTTCAGCCAAGAAGATCACATACTGTACCAGACAGCTTCCTTCTCAGCAAGACTTTTCTTCAAACCGAGGATAAAGAGCAAATTTAATTCCTTCTTATCTTTCCACATTAGGCCTCAGGAAATGTGGAACACATGTCCTACTTTTCATAACAGAGTTTGTGTTTCTTCCTGATGGAGCAGGTTCATTATAGCCAATCAAGCGAATGAGTGACCTGAGCATCATTTGTGCTGTTGTTAGACTGATTGTATTATATTGTATTCCAAATGATAAATACACAATGCACCTGTTTATATTTGATTAGGTTACATCAATTCACAGCCATTTAAGAGAGGCACTACTTCAACATTTTAGAAAGTAGTCATACAAGAAATTACTTTAGTAAAAAATGTATTTTGTAAAGAAGCTAATGAGGCACTGAGTAGTTGTTGCATGATTTGCATAATTTAATGTTTAGGAATGCTGTGGTCAGACTGAGAATATGATGAAGTTCTGATATTTTAAAGACTAAAAGACATTAAATACAAATTAATTATTACAAAATAACAAAATCATACTGAAGAAATACTTTTTCAGATACTCATTTCACCAACATAAAATTTATCAAACCAATACCTGCAGAGAGAATTGTACTTCAGCTGACTATATATTTTTATTTTTTTCTGCATGTTAACCTGATCTGTGAACAGATAAAGTTACTCAGTGGACAGAGTAGTTAGAGATGTTACTCAAAAAGGTGCAGCAATACTTCACAAGAGGAAAAGTGAGAAGTATGGTGCAGTAAAACTACTTCTACAAGTTTTCTTTTTCTCATAATTACATATCATCAACTAAATAAACTAACCATGCTTGTGAAGTGGAGGAAAAGGGACACATGGTAAATTTCTATTTTTTAAACATGTGTCTGATGTTAGTGTCCAGCTCCTTTCGAGGCTGAGCTTTTCACAACCACTGCAGCTCCTGCTTTGCTCTGAATGGGGCCTTTGATACAGGGTTATAGCACAGTATGAAATTGTGAGGATTTTACTGTCAAAATTTTAATAATCTGTATAAATACCTAATTTCTAATCCTACTGTCTACATCTTTCCTCTTACTGTTCCTTCATTTTACCCTTTGGTGTGACTCTGTTTTGCTTTTTCCTTATCCTTTCCACAGAGTTCTTCCTTTTGTATTTTTCTTCCTTTCTTTCCGCCTTCCTTGTTTCCTACCTCTTTGCATCCTCTCCTTTCCTTACTTGCTGTTTAACCTTCCATATCTACAGTTTTCTCTTATTTTTTCTGCCCTTTCTTTCACTTTTTGCTTCTTTTCTTACTCTGGTTTTATTTGATTATTACTTTTTCTGCCATTTTCTTTCCTCCCTTTCTGTTTTTGTGTGTTCAACTTGAACGCTGTAGACAAATTGATATTGAATATTAGTATTTATTTATAGACACAGACAGGAAGAAGAACTTGGAGTTATTTACTCCTGACCTGCCTGCAGTGCTCCTTGCTCGTCATAAAGCTGTTTACAGAAGAACAGAACAGCCGTTCATTTAACTGAGAAGAATTTACTCAAAGTTCGACCTTGTTTTCCTGATTATGTTTGTTATAAAGGAGGAAGATTAATATTTATCGAAATGGGTTGATTATAAAAGATTCACCTTCATATTCAATTTTTATTTTAAAACTATAGATGATTTTCTCCACTTCAAAGAATTGAGTATTTCAAGGTGGCCCGTTGCACATAACTGAAGGAAATAAAAAAAAAAAAGTTTGGAAGGTTTTCTACTTTTTAAGGATTTATTACTGCTATTGATATTCATAGATGGTAGATTTGACTTTATGGAAAGGGGAACTATTTACTTCTGGTTTTCTACACATAGTGAGAATTTTAAGAGAAAAATATATCATCAGTCTTTGTTTCTTTTCAGGCACTCTGGCCACAGTTCTCCCAGGGAGGAGTCATCGCCTTCAGCCACCTCCCCTTCATCTCAGTCTTCAATCTCACCCGGGCCCAAGAGCTTCTACCCCCGTCAGGGAGCTCAGTCCAAATACCTGATTGGCTGGAGGAAACCAGGCTCCACCATCAACTCTGTGGACTTTGGAGACACACGAAAGTAAGGATGAGCAAATGATGGACAGAAAATCTCAACATTTCATCAAATTTTTGTTCATATGTTGCACAAAAACATGTTTGAACATTTTTGCTCAGTTTTTTCTATATTAACATATGATTTCCTTCTTCAAGTCATCACCTTCTACAGCCTTAAGCTGAAGCTAAACAGACTGCTTTCTGGTTTGTTTAAAAATGACCTGCGCAGTGAAGCAGAAATTACTGTAGCTGTCTACGGTATTTGGTTTTATAATAGATACTTTCACCAAAGACAATTTAGAAGAAACTATGAATGTTAAATCTCCAATCTAGTCAGAAACTCTGGTGAAAACATTAACCCCAGCCCCGGGTCATTTTGATGTCACATTTTGTTTCACATCTAACGTCTTTATAACCAAGCGATCCTAAAGAAAACGACCAACTGAACCTTAAGCTAACTATACTCTACAGATAACCACTAATTTGTCATTAAATTACAACTTCTTATCTTATTTTTATCTTCTGGCTTTCCAAAACACCTTCTATCCTGGCATGAAAGGGCTCATTTTGTTTTTAACACTCCACAGAAAAGTAATATCCAGTTGTATTCCCCATAAAATAAAACCAGGTGTCGTAATTATCCACCAAAGCTAGTTATTTTTCCATGAAAAGGTAAAATATATCAGCATAAAAGCACTTTTTTTTCCTGTACCTTCTAACATAATGTCCACCATTTTTGATTATGTACATTACATGGGCTTATTTACCAATCCACTTGCTCCTAAAATCAAGCATAAGGTATTTTCTCAGTCCACAATTCGTCAGAAATGTCCCTAACATAAGAAACGCCGTCCCAAGGTGCATCATTGTAGTTTTTACGCAGCTGGAACTCAACAACTCAGTGACAAATCAAACTTCGATTTACATATTTTTTAACAAATAAGATAAGTTTTGCAATAAAGTGTAGGAGTGAGTTAAAAAGATTATGTTTGTTTATGTTTCAAAGGAGGGAGAGGAGAAATAACTGGAATTATCATACGAAATGCATAGTCAGAACTCTGAAGCTGAACATTTGAAATATAATAAAATAAAGGGCTTGAATGAGAATTTGTGTAAAACTGCCTTTAGAAATGGTTTTTATGCTCAAATTTGTCATAAAATTAAAATATTCCAGTTTGGCAATTTTGGTCCCAATTAGGATCAGATGTTCCAATTTAACCTTTTGCATAAAAAATGGGTCACAGTTTAACGATGCTTACTACTACAGATTTGAAATATGGCTTAGTTGCTTTCCACATCATAACAAACCAGTTAAGTAACTTGGAAGAGATCAATTATGAATTAGAACTAAGATATAGAACATTCAAAATAAAGCTCTATTAATGTTCAAAATTATACTTTTGGGTATAGCTCAAGTTTTGTAAAACAGACTTGCAGGCCATTTGGGGCTGCACTTTGTGCACAAGCTATAAAAAGGTGGAAGCTAAGGGTTAAGTGTTAAATTTATCAGATTAAATAATACAAAAACATAGAAATAACTTCAAGATACAGTAGTCATGTTGGTGTTTTACAAATATTAATAAAGGGGATCTTCTCAAATAAGTTTTTATATAAGATCTTTGAAGGTGGACATGCAGGTCTGTGCTGAAATAATTTTATCATTGGTTTTAAAGCACCTTAATAGTCAAAAGAATCCTCAAGCCTGCATGAACAAGAATAGCAATGGGAGACCTGCTATGAAAAACCTCCAGAGTAAAATATAGATAGATGTAGGCAGATTAATAATTAGACTTCAGCCATGATTCCCTCTGCCAGACATTTGTTTGTGGAATAATTAAGGTCTGGCATGAAAAAAATAAATAAATGGTTATTTATTATTATTCGCAGGAGTTTCACAACTAAACTTTCAGTTTAGATTTTGCTGCCATGTTGAGTTTGATAGAGCCTTTTTTTTTCATTTGATATAAAGTATATTATGAGGACAAGAGATGGAAAGTGACACAGTCACATATGTAACAGTATATTGATTACCACTTGCATCATTTTTGTTTTACCAAATGCTTCACAGATGTTTCTATTATATTAAATCAACTCTATTGTCTTTTTCTTTATAGTTAAAATTATGTTTGACCATTTTAGTACATGTTTGAGATCTGGTTTTTGGATTCTACTGCTTCATTTAATAAATCTTCATTAAAAATAGCCTTTTATTATAAACACATTCTTTTATTTCTTGAGTTTTTATATTTACAGTCTGGGTTTGTTCTATTCCTTTTTATTTCAGTTGGACTGTCGAAATAACCCTTAGACTTTCCAATTGACTCATTATTTATTAGATATAAATTCCATCACATATTCCCATTAGTAACAACAAAGCTGGTGCTTGATCGCCTCCATGTGGCTGAGAGATGTACAGCAGGAACTTTAATATGTTACATGAATGGATTTTTCTGAGCATATGTGCTTCCTCCCACATGATTTGCATGTACTGTCTGATTGTTCTTAATTACTTTGGGTTTCTGCTTTTAGGAAATCTCCAGGGGAAAGTGGAGAAGGGGCCCCAAGCCCAACCGCAAGGCCGACTCTTAGAGACATGCACTCCCCCCAGGCTCACGCGAAATCTACTGTGGAGGAAGATCTGAAGAGACACCCTGCTCACGACACTCCACCCCCTCCACGAAAACACAAGGAAAAGGTATCTTCAAACACAAGCAGATAGGCAACAAAAATAGGATTTTAATGAACTCATCACCAGCCTCACCCTTTACCCTTCAATCTGACCCAGCACGGCCAGAAGTCCCCTCCCAGCCAGCCGCTCAGCCGCCGCCGCTCGCTGCACCGCACACTGTCAGACGAGAGCATCTATCGTGGTCAGCGGCTGCCCTCCCTCAGCGACTCCATCACTGAGCCCAACCTCAGTACGGATGTCCTGTTCAGCTGCTCCACCCTTCCTCGCTCTCCCACCACTCGGGGAGTGCCCCTCAGACGGCCTTCCTATAAGCTAGGAGTCAAACTCCATGGTAAGGAAGACTTTTTATTGCATTTATCTTTGTGTGTTTCATTTTAATTCTTTCACTTAAGTTTTAAATGTCAAAAAAAAAAAAGTCAAAATTATAAGAGCAGTAATTTCTGCCCTCCTTTGATTAAAAAAGCAAAATGTCTAAAGATGTGAAATTCCGTTTTTAAATTTACTCCTCTTTACAATTTGAATTAACAGGGGATCTTTCAGCATCTGACACATCATTGGTGGATTTGGTGGAGCGTCATCGGGGACCCCTCCCTCAGGAACTGATGCCCCTCCCATCTTCAGGTAGAGACAGTCCTCTTGAGTGGACTCACCTGGTGGATGTGGCCAGTACCTTCGAGAATGAGAGAAACACACATTACAGTAAAATACAAATACTTGTTCTACCACTTCAAGCAAATCAACACACAGACTTCTGTTGATCTACTTTTAAAAAAAAAAACTCATACTTTTCCTTTCTCCTTCCAGTCCAGAGAAGTTATGTGTTTGGGGATTCAAACCACCGAAGCAGTGCAGCATCCATACCTCAGCACATCGAGCTGCAGCCTGCGCCACTGTCACGACCCTCATCCAGGTCGAGTCATGCAGCCTTTTTTAGTCTGTTTTCACCACATCGGTTGTCTGACTGTTTTCTGTGAAATTATGAACTGAGCTTCATGAAAGTCTCATCTGTTTTTTTTAACTGGGATTTATTTGTATTTCTATAGTGAGGGTCACATAGGCCTGGAAAGGAAGGTGACCAAGCTGGAGGCCATGGTGAAGATGCTCCAGGAGGACCTGAAGAAGGTAAGACACAAACAGTAACTTATTTTCACAGAAATAATTCTTCATGTTTTACTTTTATTTTGGGTTTAAACTTGATTGATTGGAATCAGAAACACAAGATTGGATCCATTTCAGGGAAAATAGAAAACCAAATTGCTTTTACGCAGTATCGTAATATTAGTGATTCAGTATTCAGCTCAGTCTGCAGTAATGGAAGAAACCATTCCAGTATTCATAGTAATTTAAGATTCTTTTTTATGTTCATGGTTGAAATGATTGTTTAGCTCGGCAGCTAAGAAAACAACCCAAACAGTTATTGATGCTGCTTCTATAAACATATAAAGCTTTACATCACCGGAAATATTTTTTATTTTATTTTAAAGGGCCTTACTGCTCTAATAGGTTTACCTTCTTTAAGAAACCTGGTTGATTTAAACCTAATTTGTTGCTTTTTCTAAAATGATTATCAACGGTGTATTATTTAATCGTTTGAGGATTTTTATTTATTTTGATTTATTTTCAGGTCTAGAAACATAAATTTAGATACAGGTATAGGAGAACAATTTTGTGCTTAGAACTTGTTGTCTGTTCTTTTCTGTTACCTAAAAGATGAGCATCAAAATAGCTTTAAAAGACACAAATTTTAAGTTTGATTTATTTTTATATCTTATTCTTTGAATTGTCATATAAAAGGTTTTCTGAAACTGTTTCAGTATCGGATACCGCACAAAACACTGAACCCCTCATTTAGTTATTTGTTTCTAGTGAAGGGTATTACCTCACAATCTATGATAATCTAAAGTCAGTATAGGATTATCTGAACCTGAACCTTTTAACTGGAAATACGTGTTTTACAATAATTTCTCCTGAATATAATAAAAATCTGCTGGAATACATTTTTTTTTAGAAATGTTAGTTTGGAAATGTTTTACATACATAAACAAGTTTTACTTGTGTGATTACTTGTTTATACTTTAACCGCAACACATCTGATAAACAATAAAATGTTCATTTTTAGTACATTGATAATGGGCAGTGTAAGAGTCACAGACTTCATTCTCATTTATAAAATCTATCAGCTATGAAATTTACTCATGTTGGTTTTTGTGTTGTCAATGTAAACTGATTAAAATCTGTCCTCAAAGCTTTTCAGTGTAGCAGTGACTCTCTGTGATGATATTTTTATATAAACACAAAAAACCCTACCGGTCTTTAGAAAGTAGGCAGTTATTTTATACCAATTCGAAGGGAGATTATTTTCTAAAGTCATCGATTAACTGAAATATTTTGAACTAAACACTAAATAGTTTGCGGAAAATTGTCCCTGAACTTTGTCTTAAACCATAGTGAAACGTAGTAGTGGCAGCCTCATGACCTGACAATGAATTTCTTCATCAAGCAGAGAGAAGCCAGGCTGGGTTGATGAAATACAGAGTACAAGGCTCGATGTTTACCATTGCCCGATCTCCCGGGACAAGTAGTTTTTATTGTCGGGAGAGTACATATTTCATTGCATTTGCCTGCCGGGCAGGTGCAATGATCACAAAAAACAATTATTTATCACTCAAAATTACTTTAAAATCACTGACATTTGCTGGATACCCACAAGAGTTGCCGGCGCCATTTTTGTTGTTTTGTACACATTCTCGCGTGATTTTCCGCTAGATGGCGTGATCTTTGTCCGGGAATTGGCGTCACAGAAGCGGAGGAGAACTGGTGGAAAGATGGTGATAGAGCCAAAGCCAGGATTCAACTCTTGGGGAAAGAATTCTGCAGAGCAGCAGCTGGATGATGAATTTAATCTATACTATAATACACGCTAGATTAAAAATGATCAGTCAGGGATTAGGAAAATAATAATTATATGCGCACAGTGTAAATATTTCTATCATATGGCAGTCTTCTGTACAGTGGTCATACATTAAAAAATGTTCATTCAATTTTTTTCTCTTAGACATTGGAGTGGTGCATTTAAATGTTATAGAGCTAAACATGTTAAATTGGTGACTAGTAGTAGTGTAAGTTTTTAACCTCTCAAGTTTTTTTAAGCTTTCCAAGCACACAACAGTTTAAAGCAAAGTTTAGTTTGAAAATAATCTGCAGGAAGGATTGAAAAGCATGTTATACTGGGCAAGTACAAATTGTTGCTGGGCAAATGAAATGTGAAAGCAACTTGCCCAAAGGGCAAGTGGTAAAAATCCTAAACGTCAACCCCTGGGGCAGTTTTTAAAGAAAGTCTGTTAAAGGTTTTAAAAGCCGAGACAGAGATGGAGATTTACCCCATGACGACCACACATTTAAAAATTACTGTTCAGATCAATTTGCCTTTATTTTTTGCAATGGCCTAGACCAGGTCCAGGGCTAAATTCAGTTAAGAATGTGTATCAAGACATTCAGATGTTCAAACATTCTCCATTCAACTTGACTGAGGCTGACCTACTTTCCAAAGACGAGTCAGTTGTGTAGACGTGTCAGGCTGGTACAGACATACCCTGAAAGGCTTCTGCTGTAACTGAGGGTACAAATAGTTCTACAAAGTATTGAATCTATCAGAATACAAAAGCACCAATTGTTCAGCTTTTGATGTGTAAAAACTGTAGTAAATTCATGTGTCCTCCTCTTTCCACTTCGGAAATATGATACCTGTTGATCTATTAGGCAATATTCCTTCACATTAAGGTCTGTGGTTCTAGTTTGACTGAAGTCCACAGGCATGAATACTTCTGCATAGCATTGTACCGGGACCTCCATCCACCCGCTTGCTCGTTTAACAACAAGCTAATTTGAACTCTGTTTTATTTAATTACATGCAGTTCTACCCTGAGAACTGGATTCATTCTCTGACTTTTCTCTTTTTGTGCAGGAGCGGGAAGAAAAAATGCGACTTCAGTCTCAGATCAAGAGGCTCTGGGAGGACAACCAGAGACTTCAGGAGGAGTCCCAGACATCTGCTGCCAAGCTCAAGAAGTTCACAGAGTGGGTCTTCAACACCATTGACATGAACTGAGCTGCTGCACTCACAGCTCATCTGTACACAGTTTAGAAGAGGCAGATGGGGAACCTCTAAACCCCTTCTGCATTCTTCCATTGGTCTGATATCCCCTCAACTTCTTTGAACTTTCCTGTTATGTTTGGAGGATGAAATTGTGGAACTCGTTTCTACTTGTTTGCCTTCCCCTATTTCATTCAATGGCCAAACAGATCTCCTCCTCCTCATTCTCAAGATGTTGACTTTCGCACTTATTCCACTGGATCGAAATGAAGAACCGTCTCCTTTGTGGCGCTCTCCTCCTTTCAGACCAACGTTTGGCCTTTTACACATCGATTTGTTCATTTTCCTGCTCCCACTTCTTTTAAAACATCTTTCACCTGCTCTGAAAAAGCAAACCTTGTTTGTGCCAAATCAAAGAAGCCTCAGCAGGGAGTCGCTCAGGCACCCCTTCTTAAAAGAGGACAACTTAAACGCCACACAGACGTGCGTCACAGATCTGCTGCAGCAGCAGACAAATACACATAGATCTAAATCCACAACATAGTTCAAGAGATGTTTCAACTGCATGTTAAAGGTTGAATCTGTTTATTGTTCTTTGCATCTAAAATGTCTGGACATCCAGCTTCAGTCATGTTTATCTTCCGTTTTACCCCCCCTTCATTCAGATCTTTTTTTATACACACTAACACCTGAAACAGGAGTGTATTAAAAGCCATTGGCAAGCAGTGCCATAAAACCAAGACTGATCCAGTGCTAATCGGTCCATCTCAGTTCTACGTGTCTTAAAAGCAATAGGAAGAAGCCCGGACTCCTGGGTTTGTCTGAAAAGAACCTCGAGTCGAGAAAAACCCCCACCTAATATGGATATTGTATGTTTGCAAGAACGAAAAGCTGCACAAGAGCCTTCATCACCTTCCTCTACGAAAAAGGAAAACAAGGACTCATCATCTCACTGCCTGAACGAGGAGAGCCGGCTGATTTTAAGATAACGGACACTTTTTGGCTGGAATGAAGGGAGTCTTTTTAATCCCACGTTAATTTATTTCCTTGTATTATAATTCCAATAAATGAGTTGTTCTATTCGTACAGTACAACTGATATTAGTGTTTAGTTCTTAAAGACTAATGTTCAATAGTTATATTATTTAAATGGCTTTCTTTTCCTAATTTTACCTAAAGCCTGACTATATGCTTTTTATTCTGCATTTTGTTGTATTCGTGGTGCCCAAGCCTGCTGTTGTGTTGCTTACAGTGCCATCTAGTGGTGACCAGTGAAAACGTCATGATTTGTAAATGTGCTGCATACCACCTGTATTTTTTTTCTTTAATTCATTTTTCCCCCCAATGCTTCTTGATTTGAGTCAAAAAAAAAAAAACTCTTAGAAATAGAATGAGAATAATAAGCAGCTAGCTGTAAGAGACAATCAGAGGTAGATTTTTATTTAAACAAAAAGGAGCAGAATTAGTGTAGATGTGTCTGTATTTGTGCATTACGTCTACAGTTTTCCTCAGGTTCAAGGGGACAAAATATTGTCAGAAAGTACATTTGCACATGGTAAAGAGTATATCTTCTAAGGATGTGAAACGTGTTGCCATAGTGAGAATGTCCATAAGTCTACCCAGCCGTGCCTACAGTACACTTGTTTTAGGTCAATTACTCGCAGGCAGAACAGGGACGTGCCTTTGAAACAGCATCAGGGGAGCAGATAAAAGGGAAAGCCTCTTGATCTTCATCTGGATACTGTAACACCCCGTTTTCTTTTTGTTAAAACCCCCTTCACACGGATTTTAGTTCGCTGTCGTGAGGCATTAAATGTGTCTGAGGCAAGGAGGCAGGTCAGTAAAGTGAGACACGGTGTTTTCACACACATTTTTGAATATGTGTGCCTTTACATTCCTTTTATTGGTGGAGAAATTCAGGCACACAAACCTAGAAGTAAATATTAGCGGACAGTCTGCCTATAAACATAAAGAAGGTAAATGAAGAGAGTCATCATGGAACCCTGATTTTACCCTACTTTGTTAAAACGGTAGATTTGTGTCATAACATTAGGAAACCATGATAAACCTAAAACCATATGATTTAAATTTAAAAGCAAACAAATCTGTAAATGAAAAAGGCTGGCACATCCATGGTTCCATTAGAGTGCATATCCTTACATTCATGATGCTGATATTCAGTCAAAATGTGTCATTTTTTTCAGCAGGATTAGCTTCATCTTGACTTATCTGCATTACAATTGATCCCTAAATCCACCAGATTGCGAAAAATCTCACTATTCAGCTTTAAAGCAGAATCTTGACTGTTTTGGGTCAAAACTGAAAAGTAGGACTAGTTATGAATAAATACACACTGACCAAAGGTTTATTTTCCCTGTGAAGAAAAGTGATGCTTCGCCCAATACTTTCTATTCTGGGTGATTTGATAGTACATGACCTGTACTCATTGGAAAGGTGTCTTTTTAATCTATTTTTTTTTTCCATCTGACAGATGACCAGGTACAGTTTGATCCTCTCTAACCTTTAAACAAATAAAGGCTTTAACAATGAAAAAAATGAGCCAGTTTAAGGAAACTTCTATTATAAAAGCAGTGTTTATTCTCATTTATAACTTTAAATTAAGGCATAGTGCTCGAGACTAAAAGCTGAAACTGAATCAAAAGAATATTTAAAGTGTGCACATATTTAAAGAAAATATGTTTCCGTCTTAAAAATGTGTTTTGCAGCTAAGGAACACAGACGGATGACATGTTAATGGGGTAGTTCCTAAATGTGCCACTAAAAGCTGGTATTTTCACAAGTGTGTGTACCGTCGCTGTATTTCTTCAACCCAGATTCGATCTCAAAATGCCTGAACTTTCTTAGTAGAGATGTATGGTTATAGAGTTGACCACCCTGCAGTGTTTACCGTAGATTTAGAGAAACATGAATGTAGAACAGAGCGAGCTTAAAGATAAGAGATGTTTTCTAATAACCAACACACCAATAGAGAGAGGACTCGCAGCATCACTATCGGTTCTGTTTTAAGAATCTTGTCCATCTTTAACAGCTATAATCATACCAGTAGATAATTAGCATTTCTTCTGATTTGAACAGTTTTATATGATATTGAAATAAGCCCATGGGAAATTCTTGATCTACAAAGATTAATCTTTATTCAAACCTCCATGTTTAATAATCAGTGGCATCATTCGTTTCATTGCTGTACCTGGTTTTTCTAATGAAGAATGACATGATGTAAACCTGTAAAGGTTTTTTGTGTGTGAGAGAGAATGTTGAATTATTTTACTCATTTGCTTTCTTTATGTTTAGTTTTTTTTTTTCGGTCCATTTGGTGAGATCTGTTGTGGAGATCCTTTGCACAGTGTTCACATGTTTCGGATATAAGAAGGGTTGTTTTTCTTTCCAGTGCAATTTTGTCTAGATGTTGCCGTGCAGCAAAATCCCTTATTTTTTTTTTCACCCTGAATGCACCACTGATCAGGTGGCAAAAGGGAAGAACAGACGGGATGTTGCATGTTTCGTCGGGATGCTTGTCACGCACAGCTTGAGAGTTCAGTGACTGCAGCAGGAGAGGGAGGATACTTAATGCTCAGAGATGCAGGCGGCGCTGCTTTGTCAGCTCGCTCCTCTTCCAAGAGCAAACTTAGCTGTATGCTGATCAGCTCCCACAGCATGAAGAGGGGACCAGAAGTTTTACACGATTGAAAAAATATATATATACTGTTTACATCCCAGATTCATTGTCTTTGTAAGATGTAAAAGTATGACCAAGACATTTGCAGTGATCAAAGTATTAAAAGTTTCTGAAATAAATAAATGCCATATTAGTTTGACGTCCTGTTGTTTGTGCCTGATGTGGTGATAACGGCTCATTCAGCCAGAAAGGAAGAGTGGATTTATCGGTTCTCTCCTGTGCTGGTCTTGTCTGAATGTACCTTGCATGGAGGAGCGGCTGAAAGAAGTTGGATCTGACCTGTGGAGGCCTCAGGCTCCCACTGTTCTTCTCACTGATTCATCTGATTGGATTTTAGCTGCTCCCACGGCAAGAAACAATCGCTCCACCTGAATTTCCTGCTCTCAGTATGCAGCTCCTGCTTGAATGGAGGAAAGGAAACTATACTTGCATATTAAAAAAAATAAATTTGTTTAAATCAGTTTTCTGCAATTTGTAAAATTCTCAATTTTCAACTTAAATAGAAATACAGAACTGCTTACTTGATATACATCTATTATAATTTTCATTTAATTTTTTGCTAGTATTGTTTTAAAATGTGAAAATGTTCAAGAGGCGTGAATACTGTATGTTGCAGGTTAGACTACTTAGTCTGATCCAAGAAAATAAAACCTGCACCATAGAACGGACAAAAGATTTAATAGAAATTCCAAATGTAACATTAAATACTTTTTTTCTAAGTTGAAGAAATATTTATGATTTAAGTCCAGTTTTGTTACCCTTTGAAGATCTGTGAGCCTCATACCTCACAAGCAAAACAGAAGCACAATCAGGTGTACAGACCGGAGTTTGGGTGTGATTGCACACTTCTCTGTAAGAAAATCATATTTGATGAGATTGTTGGCCTGGAATAAATATACATCCAATCATACTAAAATAACATGTTTGCTTTTTTCCTCGGGGGAAGCAAAAACAGAGGTCCAGAACTGCTTCTATTTACCAGAAAATTAAGGCTAAGCAAAAAGAAAGACCACGATTAAGCCTGATTTCATTCTGCATTCCCAGGCTTCCTTAATTCTTATGATTGCAGTGATGATATAGTTTTGGCAGGCCGCCTTGATTGCAACTAGTTGCACCTGCAAACACAGTATGCCATCAATGAATTGCGTCAACCTTCTGAACCAAAGCTTTTACTGACAAATTTGTGACTGTAGTGATGATTTGCAAACAAGAGCTGCAGTTGTGAAAGTAAAGCCAACAGGTGGGTGTGAGATCGTCACTCAGCCCATCTTCAGTGATGCTCAAAGTTGTTTCTGTCATCAGAGATTGAGTTCCTGCTGGGTCTTTATACAGAGAAGGTGTTTAATAAGGAGGTTGCAATGATTTATCCACCTCACAGGTGGAAAAAAGTGAATTTTAAATCACCTGGACCATGTTTATAAAGTGTTTTAGGCTTAATTATCCCAAACAGATGCAATCAGAATAATTCTACTTAATTTTTAAAGGCCTGTTAGAGTTAATATAAAGCCAGCCTTTTTTTTAGCTTCTTATAGTTTACATTATTCATTAGGTTGCTTATCCGTTTAACCTGAAACATTTATTGATTAAATGTTGAACAATTTGCTACAAGATAGACAAATTAGGATTAACTAACCAGCAGAGATAAATGCGCTGCTACACAGTAAATAGAACCAAATTGGACTTTATGTGTATCTAGATCTAATTATAATGAGCTGACCAGATTGTCCTGGAAGCATTAGGATTCATTTAAATTGTGCTGGATCATGTATAAATTCTGTTGGGCTTTTTTTTTTTTTTTTTTGACAATAGTTGCAAATATCAGCTATAATCAAAAATTGAATCATCTTTCTGTTTGAAAGCATCCTTGCTTGGTTGCAGGAAGCAAATTGCAGCCTGTGATATGATTGTAGAGTGGCGGGGACAAAATTTAGAGCAAAAGTTTTCTGAAATGTTGCTTTGAAGCAGGAATATGATGCATAGAAGAGGATTAGGGCCACTGGGAAAAAAAAGTTAACTGATTTTTAAAGTTTATTTCAGTGTAGTATGGGGGAAAAGTCAGAATTCTGAGAAAAAAGTCAGAATTCTGACTTTTTTCTCAGAATTCTGACTTTATTTTAGGAATTGTGACTTTTTTTATTGTCAGAATTAGGTCAGAATTCTGAGAAAAAAAGTGAGAATTTTGAGATTAAAGTCAGAATTCTGAGAAAAAAAGTGAGAATTTTGAGATTAAAGTCAGAATTCTGAGAAAAAAGTGAGATTTCTGAGAAAGAAGTCAGAATTCTGAGAAAAAAGCCAGAATTCTGAGAAAAAAGGCAGAATTCTGAGTTTAAAGTCAAAATTCTGAGAAAAAAAGTCAGAATTCTGACTTTTTTTCCATATTAAACTGAAATAAAATCATAAAAATCAGCTAACTTTTTTTTTCAGTGGCCTAATCCTCTTTCGTACATCTAAGTAGTAGCAACATACTGTAGAAATGTAAAAACTGTGTTAATAAAAAAAAATCCCGTAATACACTATTTACACATAATTTTTTTTGTTTCGACCTTTAATAAAAAAAAAAAATACTAATATCAGCTCCTTCCTGCTTTCTGTCTAAAAAGAACTGAACCCTTCCTGTTTAGCAGAACAATGCACCTATACCTCCAGACTCTTTTCTTCTTTCCCGTGTATTGCGTATGGATCCTTAGTG